AAGTAAAAGAAAAAGAAGAGAAAGATCCATGATCAGATAATACAAACACAAATGAGAAATGATCATGTTTCTGTAGACTTTTTCTGTTTTCATGTAAAAATTCAGATTTCTGTCAGACCTGGTGAGATCCTTCTTTAATTCTATATATATATATATATGTAATTAATCTTAATTTGATTAAAAGAATGACACTACTTTAAAAATGTTGTATTGCAATTGAACACAAATTAAGGGGTCATGAATACTGACGGCTGTAATGAGTGAGTGATCTTCGCCTTTCTTACCTTCGAAGTGTCGGAATCTGTTGCTTTGTAGCCCGTTTCCATAAAGTACTTGAGGTTATCACTCAGGTGGCTTTTCCCCTGCTTCTTCCTGAACTCCTCTACAATGGACACCAAAGAAGAAGAGCAAGAAGCTATAACAGATGTTGTAATACAGCAAACACCAGAGGGCTACTAGTACTGCAATTACATCAAGTATTAATACTGTTGAACAGACACAGCATATTGCTCCATAAACATAAGCTACCAGTTGTTTATTCCAATGACAGTATGGTCAAGATCTACATTTACACTAAAATTTAATGCAGAAAGTAAACCAGGGCTACACACTGTAGTACAACACAAATAACATATGGGAATTCTGCTTTAGGATGCATTTTCCTCTGGAAGCTGACTCTGCGCAGAGCTACGAGCCGACTCACCCACTGCAGACTTGATCCTCTTGTCTTTGACCGTAGCTTTGCTCTTGCCGGGGCCCAGGCGACCCTGCAGCCGTTTGACCTGCTTGGTGACTCCCTGCCGTTTGGTGCTCACCAAATCCATCACCGAGGCCGAGCTCGGCGTCTGCTGCTTCTTCTTCTTCACTTTACTGTTATCTGGCGAGGTGCACAGGACGCAGACAAACCAAATTTACGCTGCTAAAAAGGCAACACATTGCTCTATGTGCGTGAGTAAACGATTGGCCAATTCACTTCAACTTTTGTGACGAAAGTGTTGATTTTAATACAGTTTAGTGTGGTAGTATATAGACTGTCCTTTTTAAACAAGTGCATATAATCACCATCATTGTTAAATATAAAAATAAGCACACTGTATACATGCAGATACTGTACATAAACACCCAAATTATGTATATAAAGTAATCTATTACAAAAGCTATTGAGTACTTATTGCAGCACTCTTTGTACTGCTGCTGTTTAACTTGTATATAGACACTGACTCATTGTTCATTGTTGATTTATATATAGTTTACACTCACTTGTGTGCACATAATAATGGTTTATATTTGTCTTTGTCTATTTATATCTTACTGAAAATTGTTCTTCCTTGTATGTGTGCACAAACCTGACTATAAAGCAGATTCTGATTAAATTCTGACTAAAATATATAACCGTATGTTTTGGTGACTTTAACTTCACAAATGGTAAATTAGTTTAATTTTTCTCTGCTAACAAATAATACCTAGACATCTCTTAAATATCTTAAACAAGCCTTAATTTGAGTTCTTCAACTTGTGCTGGGCATTTATCATCATTTCTGAATGACAAGATGAGCCACAACCACAGATAATGAAGTCCTAAAAAAACAAAATGAGAGTTAAATCGGCAGTTTCCCATTTCAAGACAGCAGCAGCGAGTAACCACACCTGTTATTCCCAAACTATAACAATGGAACAACTTATAATCACTAACATTTGTCGGGACTGAAGTGAAAGTGTCCTGTGCTCATGTTAGCCGAGCAGCTAGAGAGCTCAAAGTTCAGACAGACCTTTAAGATGGTCGCTGAGCAGCTCCAGTCCTCTCCTCACCAACGCTGCAGACATCCTGACCCACAGTCTGCTCAGTTACATACAAAGACAACGCTACGTCGACGACAACCTGCCTCTACTGAACAGTCCTGAGAGACAGCAACGTGTGAGACTGTCAACATCCGCTACACTACCCGTGTGCTCCGTTTGAAAAGCGACCGGCTGGAAAAAGAAGTCGGAGATGAGTGAAGTTCCGCCTTCTCGCTCTCAGCCAACTTTTAACAACTGGTGCTGCTACTACTATAAATGATACAACAACAACAATTACTACTACTACTACTAATAATAATAATAATAATAATAAATTAAATTAGATTCAATCGGCATAATTTGTATGTATATTAAATGTAGAGCACACATGTTCTGCACGTTAAGTTGTAAGTTATATGTTATATTTTAGTTGTATTTTATATTAAATAAATACATATATTTTTTTATTATTATGTTCTTACTCTTCTACTTGTGTGTTACCTCAGGTGTGTTTGTACTGTACATATGGTAATGAACCTCTTGACTCTCGAATAATTTACCGAAAGCAGCAAATTAGTAGGTTACATCAACAAAAGTGATACAAATAAATAAATAAAATAACATAGCCTAAATAAAAGGCTAACAACGGAACAAATATTATGATATACATAAATAAAAAATGAAAAATAATAAATGGATTGCAGCTTTAAGATGAATATCAGCCACTGTATTATACCAGGGCAAAAAAAGTGCATGTGCAGTAAGTGAAAACCTCTGGGATAAGAAACACTGAAATAACATGTTATGTATTATTGTAATGTGTTACTGATTTAAACATGAGTTTAAATAGCCTACCAAAAGTGCCTAAAATGGTTGCTCGTTACAGAGTAATCACATTACTTCAACGCGTCACCGCCTCCATTCACTTGCAGCTGTTGCACTGTACAGTGGGGGCGTGTTGATTATTGCTCTCTCTCTCTCCACCATGTCCTTGCTATCTCCACACTCCCAACCTTTGGCACAGCATTAGTTAGATCTGTTGCAGTAAACGTTGTAGCCTGCTGTCTATCTCTCCAAAAAAGTAACCATGGCGCTCCAAGCGAGAGCCCTGCTCACCTCCAATTGGCTTTCGGAGGCTTTGAAGGTCCAGGGGAAAATGCGCATCTTGGACACTTCTTGGTATTTGCCTAAACTGCGGCGCAACGCCAAGAGCGAGTTCAAGAAGAGGCACATCCCGGGTGCAGCTTTCTTTGACATAGACCAATGTTGTGATAAAACCTCTCCTCTAGACCACATGCTGCCGTCGGAGAAGATTTTTGCAGATTATGTCGGAAATTTGGGAATAGAGAGCGATACGCACGTCGTGGTGTACGACGCCAGCGAGTTCGGCGCCTTCTCTGGGCCCCGTGTGTGGTGGATGTTTCGGGTGTTCGGGCACAGCGCGGTCTCGTTGCTGAATGGGGGGCTCAGGAACTGGGAACTGGAGGGTCGACCGATGAGCGACCACTACGTCAGACCAACACCGACCGAGTTTAAGGCCTCCCTGAACCGCTCCTGGATCAAAACCTATGAGGATATCCTGGATAACCTGGACACCAAAAAGTTCCAGGTGGTGGACGCCAGGCCTGCAGGCAGGTTCAAAGGACTGGACCCTGAACCCAGAGACAGTGAGTAGTCTGCAAGTTGCAACCCAGTCCGTGTGATGATGGTGCGGCTCTGTTTAGGTCTCTTGCAACTTGGAGTTAAGCATGAAGGCAAACTGAAAGCAGTGGAGCAGATATAATCACTATGCATGTTGTTTCAAAAACAAATTTCAGAAAGATTTAGACTGCTAAAAACAAGGACAACAACACTGAACAGGTAAACTACTTTGTAGGTGAACAAAGTAAGATAGATGTCTATATAATTGCTCTCTCTATATAGATGTCTGTAACATTTAGATACACAGGAAGATTGTTGAAATTAAAACTAAAGGTCACCTTTAGTTCACCTTTTCTAACAACAGGGTATTCCTCTTTCAGAATAATATTTTCAATTTATCTTTTTAGTGAAGTAAATCGAGCACCGAAATTCAATTTCTGCTTGTTCCTCTTTTTCTTAGTAGTGTCTTAAAAACGCATTTTTGATCTGCAGACCGTTTGCTACAGACTACAAGATAATAAGAATTAAGAATAAAGAATTTGACCCAGATGAGTCAGAGACTACCTCTGTTCCTGGTACTACGAACTCTTTGGGACAAAATCACCGATGATGATGATGATGATTAGGATGAATTAAGAAATTAGGTTTATTTCTCTCATCACTGTTGCAAAAGAATTTGAGCATGGCACTGGATTGAGTCATGGTTTTGAGTTTTGATTCACAGTCGTACTGAATGAAATGACAGAAAAAAAATGCTGAGTAGAGTTTTCTAAAAAGCAAAGGTTGTCTTTATGATGAGTCATACAGACCAAGCTGACTTGCTAAACAGCTTCTACTATGTTTCTTGTAAGTAACATATTGGCACTCAGATTTACATGAAATCTATTAATGCAGAGAAGTGATTACAACAACATTTTTATTATATGGAAAATTTTTTTGCATCATATGAATCTTAACCCTTATTGATTGCATCACGTTTAACATGTATTTAAGCCTCACTGATCTGACATTGTTCATTCATTGATCAGATCATCAATCTGTTGGTTTTTGTTGCATATCAACATGACAGCAGCTGGATTGATAGTAAATCAATATGTTTGGCCTTTGATTTAATGGAAACCGGTGGACTCTGGGGTCACAATTACTAGTGCTTGACAACCTGGAAAAACAATTCAAATCAATGTCATATTAATGGGGACATTTGAGATCATGGCACATGCAAAATCACATATTAAAAAATTAATATTCGAACAAACCATGAAATGAAAGCTTTAACACATGTAAAACAAAAGTTCAGTAGCTCATTTGGAGCCGTAATAAATATTGAGCTACAAATTCAAATAACATTGCTATTGTAAATATTCAAAAACACCCCCAAACCACATATTTTGCTATTTATTCATTTTTTTTCATAAACTACTGTAAGCGCTCAATGACTGACCTACCAATGTAGTGAACCTGACACATTAGGTGCTTGACCAACATGTTACTGTGACAGTAAACTAAAATAAACACACTTCTTCATCCTATTGTCCGTCTGCTATTCCGTGCTGTCTATGGAAAACAGATGGATTATATTCATTAACAACACAAACAAATAGAGATGTAACTATTGTACCTCATAACAAAATCAAATCAAAAACATGCTTGTCTTCATTCTTTGACAGTATGGGTTCAGCATGGCACAAACATGTAGTGGAAAAACCACAATGGTCCACTGAGTCCAGGACTTCCTTGTATGCAGGCTTTTTGCAGAGTTTACTCTGGACAAACACACAGGCAGGCAGGCATGCAGCAGCCTGAGCTTAAATCACTGAACAACGCAAACACATAAGGAGAGTGAGTGTACAGGACATGCTCTCATAACTATGCATTTTATATCTGACCCATACGCTCTCTCACACACACACACACACACACACACACACTGCAGAAGGAAAGTAGCAGATAGAGTGAATGGTCCAGAATTTAGATATTGTCCACCCTTATGTCGATCTTTACAGATAGCAGTCTGTATTCAGTGATAAGACGCCCATAGTACGTGCCTTATCTTATTCTATACACTTCTCACTGCCACACACACACACATACATATCTGCATACATGTACATACACACAATAATACACAGAGAAAAGCTTTGATGTGCTGTTAAGAGTGCCCATTCACAGGTGAAAATCCATTCGTGAAAGCAGTGTCAGCACTGAACTTCGACCTTAGGCAAACTGTTGTGATTAAAAGTAGATGTTTTCTGTGCAGTGCATAGTTTAGGGAAGTATCAGAAGGACTAGTATTCCCCTTTTTGTCAAATAAAGTTAACGATTTTGCAGCATAAATCTACATTCATCACTTTGGTGTAGAAATGTCCATTTTTGTTAGAGCTGTCTAGCACAGTCAAAAAAAGGATAATTCTCACAGTTGCGGCTTGGGATCAAACCTCAATACTCTGTTGGTACCAACTATTTGTCCATAGCATTAAAAAACATAAGATATTTACACATGTAATATATAATGTATTTTATTTAGATAAAGTTCTTGCTGGAACTTTTTCTTTTTTGTTAAATGCTTATATTGCTCAAAGTAGAGTATTGAAAAACTATTGTACTGGTACTAAAACTCAACCAAATATTGGTGATCATATTAAAACATTTTAAACAATGATACGCCCTAATCGCTATGTGTATATATTATATATAAGACGATGGAGTAATACATAAACAACACATGTGCTGTCGGCCCCAATAACAATGTGCATCTCACCCACCCGACAATGTTTGAGAATCACTGTCTTAGTCATAAAAGATTTTGGGAGAAAACTTTGCTCTATCAGCCTGATGTCTCCATCTTCTCTTTCCTGTAGCCCAGATTTGACAGACTCGATCCCTTTAACAGCTGACATAGTTTTGTTTATGATCACGATGATGGTTTTATCCCATTCCACTGGTTAAATAATGTTGAGTTGTCGATAGTAGAGTGCAGCTGGAATGATGTTTGACGCTTCTTGCGCCCTCTGACCTCTTAGTCTGTCTGATGCATGCAGCGCTTAACTATGGGGAGTGGAGAGAACAACAAACACACCATAACACTGGCCGCAACTATCCTGGCTTGGTAGAAAAAGAAGGTGTTACTAATAGCAGTAATAATGACTGTATTCTGTTGATGTATCCCAGCATGCACAACACCAGGACACATAGAGTACAGGTACAACCAGTTGAAATGAGATCGAAGAGAGTGAATTAGATGTCAATTAAGGACGGTGTTTACACATGATTTTGCTGACTGAAATGCTCAAAACATCCTGCTTAGCAAAGAAGAACAGTGGGAATTTTTTGAATTTTTATCAGTTCCTTTTTCACTTCATGATTGTTTTTTAGCTGCAGCTTACTGTATGCTACCTGCCCAGGACCAAACAGCAGACAGACAAAGTCACCAGCTGGTGAACATCATGGAACATTTGGTAAACAGCCAGATGTTTTTTTGTTTTTTTTTTCAAAAAAGAAAAAGAACCTAAAAAAATCCAAATAAAAAGAAAGTTAATACTTAAATTTGACTTACTTGTGAGGTGGGCACAAACACAACTCCAAATGAATGCTAACGTTTCTCCGGGTCTGCTCACTGTGTAAATAAGACACCGTCTGCTAACATGTTAGCACACATTCATTTTTTAATGTGATAATATGTCAATGTTGTTTTTGCATTTTTTTTGTTGTTGTTGTCCCCCACAAAAATGCAATTAATGCCGATTTAACACCGCTACAAACTAAGGTTTAAAGATGCCATTAAGTTAAATTACCACTTAAGAAAATAAATCCTATACAAAATTTGCTTCTTCAAAATCCTATCTGGTGCAGGGTTGTTTTATTGTACTGTGTTGCTAATTAATTGTGAATAAAGATTAAGTGGTATAAATGATAACACAAATCTTACTCTCATTCTCTCTTTCTGACTGACAGACACAGAGCCAGGCCACATCCCTGGCTCCATCAGCGTGCCCTTCCACTCCTTCCTGTCCCAGTCGGGTCACTTTCTGCCCAAGGAGCAACTGAAGGCTCTGTTCGCCCGGGCTGGCGTGGACCTCAGCCGGCCTATTTGTGTTTTGTGTGGCTCAGCCGTGACGGCGTGTCATGTGGCGCTGGCGGCCCACGAGTGCGGCCACCCGGGTGTGTCTGTGTATGATGGCGGGTGGTCGGAGTGGTACACCCGTGCTGTGCCTGAGCATGTCATATCTGAAGGACGAGGGAAACATTTGTGATTGGTTCACAGGAAGGGTGGTTGATGGGTTGAGACTGGATCAAACTGGTACTGGATGATGTTCTTTGCTTGTTTTTGTGTGCTAAAGTTTAAAAGAATAGTTTGACATTTTGGGAACTTGCTTATACCGTATTTTGCTTTCTTAGCAAGTAGGGCTGGGTATTGTTAAGAACCTCACGATTCGATTCGATTTTGATTCTTTAGGTCACAATTCGATTCGATATCGATTTGATTCGATATTGATTTAAATGCTTCGATATCGATTCAGTAATAAGT